AGGAGGAAGAAGACCAGGAAAAGGATGTGAAGGAGGAGGCAAAGCCGGCAGGAGGTCAGAAGCGAAAGAAGAAGGATGAAGAAAACCAGGAAAAGGATGAGAAGGAAAAGGCAAAGCCGGCAGGAGGTCGCAAGGCAAAGAAGAAGAAGGAAGAAGACCAGGATGAGGAGGAGGAAGGAAAGTCAGCAGGGTCTCAGGAGGGCAAGAAGGAAGAAAAGGGTAAAGGTAAACGGACCGAAGAGGAAAGGGAGAAGGCCAAGTGTGAGACCAAAGCCAAGCAGTCTCGAAAGTCATCCGCGTACCATGTGGCGAAGCGGAAAGCACTCCAGGATGGCAAATCTTTGCCAGAAGCGCTTGCTGCCGCGAAACTCGCATCTTGATCCAAAATACATATGCGCTGTTTGCTTTCATGTGCATATGTTTGCATATGATTCTTTCCACCTGTCCAACCAAGAGCTTGTGCTCAATATGGCTAAGGCATATAAAAACACTTGTTGAGAGTGGCTATGCTCTGATCAGCTGACAGAAGCATCGCTTCTGCGGGGTTCATCTTTTGGGGGTTGCGTTGAAGCATCAGCTTCAAAGCCATGGGGAAATTGCTAAAAAGCAATCTTATCGATCTATGCCGTAGCAGTGGGGAAAGCCCCATGCAGCTTAAACTTCAACACCCGCAGTCGTCAAAAGAGATCTTTCTTCAGGCTGTTGTTTGAGATTGCCCATGTGTTTTTCTTCAGGCATGTTTGCCAAATTAGCTTCGAGCTTCCCAAAAAGCCTTCTACCCCAGACATGTGTCAAACACGCAATGGTGGATTGGCATATTGACACTCGCAGGTCGGGCACCATGCCTGTAAGATCTGGCGTGCTGGCAAAGGATGCCAACCTCAGAGGTCGTCTCCGCATTTGTTGATAGGGTTCAGGAGGGTATAGTGCCAAGAGTTCTAGATTGCACTCTTTTTCAAATCAGCTTGTTGTATGAAGCAGCTTTTGGGCCTAAGTCCTTTTGGTAGAAAAGAATCAAGCTGCAATATGCCGGGCTCTCCTTTGATGAACTTACAGCATGTCCAAGCTCCGAAAGCCGGAGTCTGAGCGATATCATATACAAAGACCTAGGGCCTGGGGGGAAAAGATGTTGCTCAGGTGTTGATCGCCCTTGTCCACGCCTTATTTCATGAGGAGTCTGCGTATTCATATATATAGTATATCACCTGTTTTTGTCCGCCCAGGTGTTGCTACTGGGCTGGATGGATGTACCCTTTGGAGAGGGCTCAATCCAATTTGACTTCTTTGAAGTCTTTGCAGGAAAGCAAGCTTGCACTAAGGAGATGCACCGGCCTTGTACTCCAACAAGTCCTCAAAATAGGTTGAGACTCGAGAGAAAGAGAGAGAGAGAGAGAGATCGAAAGGAAAAAAAGACATTCGTGGAGCTTGTGAGCCCCAGGCATGCGTCCGGATACCGCACGGCGTCCTATGACCGAACATTCGATGACAAAACCATGCAGTTCAATTCAGCACCAGGTTTCCTGCTTCTTAGCTAAAGGTTCGAACTACCTGAACATGACCTCCTCAGTACACTGTGTCGCCACGCCCAGCCATCCAGCAGCTCCCGCACTTGAGGTTGGCGCTCTAGGTCATCACGTCGATGCCCATCCATTCACTCCTGCTGCTGGCACCGGACTGCAGCAGCTGGGGAATACCGGCCCGTGGATCAAGCCTGCGTAATTTTATCAATTACCATGGAAATGTCTTTTCCCCTTGGGTTCAAGCTGCGAACCAAATGGTGAGCCGGACTTTTGGTTGAATTAATATGCATACAGGATTAACCAATCATATGCAATCTCCCATGTTTGGAAAAAAGCATTAATGGCTCTACCAAGGTGCGTTCTTTGCATTCTGGTTGCTTTATCACGGAATTTGGTCTACGTACTAGAGCAGCCTCTCAACAGTTTGCTGTGCAGACACAGCCGCTTCCAATGGCTGTCAAACCATGTGTCTTTTGTTACCCAGTTGCGTTTAATGCTGCAGTTCTTTCAACATGTGGTTCACACACCATGCCCATGCCCTTGCCCCAGGTGTACCAACAGAACCTGTGGATGTTGCTCCATGGGGCTCCCAGCCCCAAACCGACTACACTATATTCGAACATGATCGAGATTGCTGGGCTGAATTTAGGCGTTCTCACCAGAAAAGAAAAGGAGATGAGAACCACTGCCAAGTTAACAAGAACTTTAGTGGCATATGGCATATGGTTTTGACCAAATGGCATTTGGACTCATATGCATTGGACTTATATATATATATATCCATGCCGCGCTCAGGAAAATACATCTCCAAAGACGGAACCCCTCGCTTTGTGGGAAACCGAGACCAGCTGGGCAAATCTCAGAGTCCCAGCTGCAGTCAAAGCGTACTAGGGGGCTGAACCTACCCCTATTCATGCAGAATTAGATCGAGATTTGTTTGTTGCCTTTGGGGGTTCTGGGTGGGGGAGATTGTGGGTAACTCAGGCAATACCCGGCTGGCTTCGCTCACAATCTTCGCCTCATGTACGAAGACCACTTGGCAGCAACAGCACCTGGCCGCCGGGATTTGAGATTTAAACCCCAAACCTCACTGACTGGTCAAGGTGCTGATGAAGTTGAAGTATTCCAGAACTTACCCATGGGCGACCTTTGGGAAGATGCCGGGTTGGTTGATTGCTTGGTCTACCTCATGAACTCCAAGAAAGTCAGGCCCCAGATTTCCCATGTGTATATATATATATAGTTGAAGGCCGCGTGTATATCAATCCAATTTTTGGAAAGGATCCCATCAAAGTGGATGGCGACTATGACAGAGTTCTCAGCCACATATCAGGACCTAGTAGTTGCCTCAGTACTCTGCAGAACATTCTTCCTTCTTTTACCCCAAGTAACCACCAACCTCTCAGGTGCTTGGTGATGAAGGCTTGCGCTCAGAGTTGCGCTCGCTACAAAAAGATGGGTCTTAGGCTGTAATGCCTTTACGGCTGATGCCGGGCAATTAGATTGGGTCTGCGATGTTGACCAGGTGTTCTGGTTGTAAATCAGAACCTGTTTGTGACCCTAAGCCAAAAGTCATATGCCATGTGCCCTGGTCACTGATTTCGCAATATTTTCACTGCTGTAGTGTTGCCTACAGCCATTTCCTGGAAAATCAAAGCCGTGGGGAGGCCGCAATTCGAGCGCAAAAAGCCGCAAACAACCGCAAAATCGCGCAAACACCCGCAAATCTAAAAAGTGCTCTTTGAGTTGGTAGCTATCAGGAATTTTATGTCCTCTTGTCGCTTTTACCGGGCGTTTTTGTGGAACAAACACAGTCGATGCTTCTTTGAACTTTTTCCCGAAGGACTTTTGGGCTGAAACGACCTTGTAGGGTATATATATGGTACTGATGGCGTCCCGGACAGACTCGAGTCAGACCTTGATCAAGGGAATGGAAACCGTGGAATATGTGTCGGATGATGGCAAGCCATCTCGCAAGCGAGAGTTGGAGAAGTTGATTGAGGCAGCAGCCTCACTGTTCAATTAGTCATGTATGCATGCCTGTGTTTTCTGCAGATTGCACATGTGCAACCCTATAGGAAAAAAAAGTACGGATTGAAGCGTTACGGCGCAAACTATCGAACCAGCCTTCAACTGACAAGCCAAACATATCCGAACCTGGTGCCCCAGTTGCATATGGTCAATTGTTCAAGGTATGCATGACATCCATAGTATGTGTCTTATCCTGTAAGCCTGCATGTACTTAGGTGCGCTCCCAATGGCAGAACAGGCAGGAACGTTTTGCGCAGGAATCCCTGAAAGTCAGCCAAACGAGACGCCGGCAGAGACAGGGCATCCCAAGGTAGCCGAGACCCAAATCATGATTGACTTGGATGAAGAGGAGACAGCAGGTACTGCTATGGAGAAGGCAGTGGCTACAATAGACTCATCAGAAAGTATGCACCATGATGCACAATCCCAAGACTGGTTCCTGAGCAAGGTCCCTGATACACTGCCCAAGGGTTCTGGTTCGCAGGTGGAACTTCCTGATGCCCAGCCGGCAATGCAGGTTTGTGGTTCTCATCCAGTGCCAGTGGTTACCGCTTCACAGACAGGTGAAGCGGTAGTTCCTCCCCCGACTGTGCCCCCACCACCAGAAAGCCTGATGGCGAGCCCGACCGTGGTAGAGAGCCCATTGATGGAAGAAGTGGACACCTTGATCGAGGCGCCGAAAGGCGTTGAGCCAGGGTACTGGAAGTTACTGGGTGCAAGTGGTAGGCCCTGGTTCTTAAGTGGGGGTTGGGAGAACGCCCAAGATTTGTTTGTTTGTGCGAACTGAGGTTACGCCGATACTTCACTCCCAAGTCCAACGGTGACCTCAAATGCAGTAAAGAAGCCATGGATATGTGGAGAACATCCAAAGGTCGTCCCTTCAACTGCATACATGGTATATCATGATATTTTACCTCGTATATATGTCGGGTATATATATAGTTACAAGTGTGTACAAGGGTACCTACTGCAAAGTGTGTGCTTCCTAGAGCTGTACGTGTTTCAAGCGGCTTAACTCAGGTGACGAGCTGAGAGAGAAGTTTGCGCAACATGGGGACTTTGGACAACTTGAGGTTTATGTCCGCAAGAAGCATTTGAAGACTGCTTCTGAGGGTGTGCAGGGTGGTTGGTATACAAAGGCAGCATTGCAAAAAGAAGGGTGGACTTCGACTTTTGGCTAATCAGGTATTTGGCGGAATCCTGTGAACCAGTAACCACCTACTCTTAAAACTAGCTTTTTTTGGGGGTCAACGACCATTCCTTCAACCTCCCAATCTCTCGCATGCACGCTGGAGCCCATTTACTTTGTGGACTGAGGAAAATGATTGAACGAGCTTGGGCCTGGGCTCAAACGTTTCCACCAGGAGTCAGGCACAGGGTGAACCCTGTGCATGGCGAAGAGGAAATTAAAATCGTACTTCGGGAGACGTTTGAAAACCTCAGCCAAGACATCGAGGAGGTGGAACGCTGTGGAACCTTTACCATTCAGGATGGGGTGAACAAAGGGGTGTCCGGAAAAGGGCCCGAAAATGATTACATGCAGAAAGTTCCGGACACCATTGTTTTAGCACATGTTCAACCTCCTCTCGAAAACCTGAGCCCAGTTAAGCCGGACAGGACGAGGCTGGCACCCTTCTCCAGTCAGATCTTCCGGATCCTGGCGATGTGGCCGCTGGCAGCGGTTCAGGGGCGAATGCGAATATTCCAAAGCCGAATGTCAATGCCACAGGTTCTGTTCTGAGCTTCAAGTAGCTCAACAGCATTTCCAAAAACCATATATATATTTAATTAGCTGATGTTGCTATATAGCGTATGTGCTCACCCACCAAAAAGCGTCTAAGGCTATCATTTCCGACACTGACGGAAACCACTTCGCCGGTGCAAGTGCTACCTAACTTCCTGGAAGTTCTTGGTAGAAAGATGGACAAAACAGATAATGAACTGGACCCTGTTTCAAATGTTTCGGCTGCACTGTGTGCAATTCTGTTCACTCCAACCCCACCACCCAAGCTTGATCGTGTCAGCTTCCATTGAAGGACCGCCTGAGCACTGTTGGCACTGCTCCAGCAAATTCGTTACTAGGAAGCAAAAGGTTGCCAACACTTGTGCATTTGTGCATGCTTTACATTGCTATACATTATGTTGGGGGATGGGGCGTGCCCAGGATTTTCACCCAAGTCAAACAGCAAAGGGACAAGCTGCAGCATGTCTATGACAAACTGGCGGGGTTTCTTTCTGAAGCCACTGTGCAGCCAGAATTGTTGGACAGGACTCTTGCATGCATTTTCCATGGTTAAGAAGTCATATGATTTGGTTCCATCTAGTGCAGGACCAAGCGATCAGCAATCCAAAAGGAGTTCATCGAATGCACTAAGCTGGACGTTGCCATGAACAGTTTGCTGATGAGAGCCAAGCAGCTTCCCTGAAAATTATCACGCGTAATACGAACTAATTTGGTCTCAGCCTGTGCTTAAATTATTGATCTCCCCAAACCTCGCTTCGACGCCTGCTCGCCGGTCGAGGAATGTGAAGGGGGGTTCCTCGGGCGGGAACGCAGTCAGAAGTTCCGGTAAAGCGAAGGCGAAGGCCGCTCCAAAGAAGGAGAAAAAAAAGGCCAAGAAAGATTTGAAGGAATAGACTGGTACCATTTGTAAATGAGCCAAGGGCTTTTTGTGTCTGGGCTTAGACCACGATGCTGATCAATATCTTTCAGACTTCTTCACATCGCTGTTTTTCTTTTTCTGGGGGTGCATCGTGAATGCCCTTTTTAGACACAATGGACTCATGCATGGCCGTGAACATCCATGGCCATGTGCGTAAACAGTTTGGGCGACAGTATCTGCAGGGTGAGAAAGTGGCACTGTGCGCCTAGTCTTCAAGGAGACCCACATGCAAAAGCGGAAGTGATTGCCGGATTCTAGGTACATGTGCATGTTCTGCCAGGTGCTCTACAAGAAACTCAAGAAGGCCAAACAATTCCGCTAGGTTGGAGTCCTAGCGATACTGAGTTATATTTACCCATGCTCTTGGCACACCATGGCTAGCTGAAAACCGGAGGCGTGTCTGACTCGGACTCCTCTGATGATGACCTTGTCAACAGCTTCGTCCAAAACTTTGCGGATGGTGTATCTTGCATGCAAGCAATAGCTGAAGCTTGAACCCTTGGTCCCTTCATCCCGGAATTCCCTAAGCCCAGGCTAGTGCGAAGTCAGTGCTGGCTGATGCGACCAAGACGGAAAAACTCCTTGACAAACATGGTGCCTTGTCTGCGCTTTGGAAGCTGCATGCGCTCCAAATAGGTGAGGCTTTCTTGAACAAATCCCTGGCCCAGGTGTCTACGACCGGAAGATCTCTGAACTGGCGAGTGTGGCAAAGTTTGACAAGCACAGGTCCAATTGTAGCCGTGCATTGCACAGCTTCATACATAGAAAGAAGCGGACACTTGGGGTACAAATTGATGCGGCCGAGATTCCAATCAGGATCAACCACCGCCGCAAAGTTGTGCAAAGACCTTGGCCGGTGTGTTATCTCTCTAGCTGGTGCAAGACATGCATGGAGCACCGAAAGTATGCAGGCTTCTTTCTTCTGGGTGGCCATCGCCTAAGTGACATCAATGAGATTGAGTCTATGCTCCGCAGGTTTTGGACCCGCTACCAATCTGTTGAAGAAGGCATGCCGGATCACCCAGAGCGAACAATTGGATACTTTTTACATGGTGATGAAGGAAGAGGTCAAGGTAAGCGGCCTCTTTTGGTTATAAGCTACCAAACCATAATTCCATGGTCGGGTGAGGATGCTGTCAATGCCAAACAGCAACTCGCTGCGATAGTTGTTGTCACGGCACGTGGCTGCCAAGTGTTCTTCTTCCGGTTCTTGCTAGGTTCTTGTTATCTGCGCAGCTTAGGCATACGTACACAACAAGATTGCTATTTTCCGTGGTCCCCTCGGAATGCTATGTGAAAAAAGGGCGAACACTTCAATCTTTGATGGAGTTCCTTGTGCACGACGCCAACCGATTGTATCAAGAAGGGATTCAGGTGGTTTCCATGCACTTTTCATGCACAATAGCATTCGATCATATAGTGCCACCTCCCACGTTCACTGCGCGACAGGTGGTTTGGCAGAACGAGCACTATCACTTTTACTTCCGCTTCTTGGGTGCGAAGGGGGATTGGCCGTGGCTGCGGTCCGTCTATGACCTAAAAACAGGTTTTACATCAAAGGTGATCTGTCACATATGCCATGGCACAGATCCTCAATTGCATTTATGATGGCTACCAATGGTCTGGATTTGATTGGTTTGGGGGTTGGTTGTCACTACCTAGGACTGGCACAACTGTGGACCAACTTCTGCTGTTAGAGCTTGGCCATATCGTGGGCGAGCTCCCGTTTCTCCATTCAAAGCTGGTGAAGTGGCCGCCATCAGGAAAATGCTTCCTGGTGGTGATGACCCCTACAAGATTAAGATTGACCTGGCACACACATGGGGGATAGGCTACGGCAAGGATGAGGTGGCCTCTGGACTGCTTTTCCTAAGCGTTCGGTGTGGGGTTTTTGGCGGGCATGGTTCCCCTTATCAAGAACAGCTCGACTTGGCCTTTGACCACTTCAAGTCTTGGTGTAGGGCAAACAAAAAGACATCTACTTTGACATCCTTTGCGAAGGAGGAACTCAAAATGAAGTCGTTTCTTGGCCATTGCATGGTCTATACTATAGGCCCTAGGCCTGTGTGATGAGTACAGTACAACCGTTCAACTACAGCGCTGTTCCTACCACGTGCGTGACTCCAACGCAGCATCCTGTCCGAGCGTCCGAGCCCAGGCTGAAGACCTTTCCCAGAGGTCTCGGAAAAGGCTCGGATACTGGCCTCATCGGGGCTTGGTTAGAGGCAGTGCTGGATAGCGTGACCGAAGATTCAATTCCTGTACGGTGCTTATTGTGCTAGGTGACCGGTGCTTTTAAATTCTTCGAATCATGTGTGCATGAATGCCTCAGCTTCATATATGTATATAGCTGGCTAGCGCACAGTATGATGCCTAGGCTCCTTGCAGGGACATATTTACCGTTCTCAAATGGGGCAACAGAGCTGGCTGCAGATTCTTTCGGATTCTCTATGGTGGCCAGCTTTGGCTCTCCACTGAAGAGACCAAAGAAGCGGTCAAGTGTGGGTGGAACATGACTGACACTTTGTTATGCAAGTAGCGCAGGTGGTAGGTAACACCCTCAATAGCTAGCTTTCAAAGAAGTCCTTTTTGAGGAGGCATACGGAGCATTGGCGAGATTGGCTGCTTTGCAGAAATGGGCGCTGTGGTACATCAGGCCAAAGCTGCACATGATGCAACATGTAGTGAAACTCGGTAAAGTATATTAGTGGCACCTCGCATGGACCCTTTACAATTGCATATGCACGTGCTCCTAGGAGAGAGATGGAATGTCATCTAGATCGATCGGCAGAACCGCGGCTGATTCTTTCTCCGGCGTGTAGGATCCTTAGCCACTGCTGCAGTTTTCCTCTGTTAAGATCACCCTTCCACCTCCACTGCAACCAGGTGCTATGTGCTGGAGCGATGAAGACTACATAGGAAGAATTAGCAGACAAAGCAGACGGACCCACAGCCTGCGTGTGGCGTTTAGCACAATTCGAAAGTCTCTCATTAGCTACAAGGCCCAGTGGGACCAAGCATCTCGCAGAGTGTAAAACTGGTGCAGATCTTGGTGGTAGTAGCAAATACAAAAAATAGTGGAGAAAGATCCAGTCGAAACGCTGCGACTCGCGGCCAAGAGTTTCACGTGGAACCCGAGCCTAAGGCTCCCGGCGAAAAGCAGAAGTGATTTTGCAGGGAATAGTGTGTGTGTGTTTGTGTGTGTGTGTGTGGGGGGGGTACTTGGACCTTGAAGCAAAGCACTCGAGCGCAAATATATCAATCGAGCACTTTTAGTGAAAACGATCACAAATCCACACGAGCACTTATAAGTGCTCTTTTGAAGATCTAGGTATATTAAAACAACCTAGTCTTTGCATTGTATATTTGGCGTCTGGAAGATGATGAACCATGACATACCATGACAGATGTTATAGATAACCTATAACCTATGTCTGGAAGATGTTATAACCTATAACCTGAGAACATCTTCCATGACTTCGCAGAGCGCGGCGCCCCGCCTTCCGGTCGAGACTCAGCGCAGGGACCTGACGGGTGGTCGTTCTACGGCCAGCACCAATCGGCAACCGTTACTGTATGTCATGTATAGACGGTTGATATTGAAAAACGGTGTGTATACATATATAAAGTTATATATGTGGATATCTATATAGAGAACTATAGTTAACATATAAGAACTATATAAGAACTATATATAACATATAGTGTTTGATAATACTAATTAGAACTATATATTAATATATTGATTGTTGTATATATAATCACAGCCGCCGGTCTTTTTCACGCGTTGCAGCCAGTTTGTCTGGAATCGAAAGAGTTCGATGGAACGCATGGTTAAAACAATAACCTCTCGGGGCCCCGACACCCCACGACTTCCGCCAAACCAGGAAGAAGGGGGTGCCCCCCTGTGCCCCTCATGGCAGCTGCCGCCAAACCGGCGCCCCATGAGCCCGAACACCTGAGAGGGACCACCTTGATTTCACCCTTTCAAGGTCGGTCATTTGAGGGTTTCATTTCACTCTTAAGCCCTGACGAATCGACACAAAAGAAAAGACAGTGTTTTCCGGGGCCTTCCACGTCCCCCTGGCCTGGGATCCTTCCGGATCCCAGGCTCAAGCATTGGGTGCTTGTGGTACAAAGAAAGGTAAGACCGCAACTGCGAATTTGGGACAGAAATCTCTGACAACTGGGCGAGCCCGTCGTTGAGGTATATACGAGCGGTTTTCGCGGCTCCCCACCGCCCCTGAATTAGGAGGCGGTCAAAACTACCGTGGTGCTGAAAGAAAAATGTGGCACCTCCCCTCCGAAGGGAGTATGGACGGTATGCATAGCCTTGGAGCTTGAGGCCTTCAATGGCCTGGTTAAAAAGTCGTCTCCAAGCATGCGCTTTCACTGTGAGGAAATCTTGTGGTCGGGCCTGTGTTTTCCAGCGGTAGAGGCCCGGGAGGACTGAGGACTCATGAATAGTTACACTCTCAGCAGCGCCTTGGCGGGCACCAGACTTGGTCAAGCCAAGCGAGATCACGGCCGGCCCTTTCGGACTGGTGAGGTACACATCGCGAGCGCGCACATTTAAAAGTTCACCTGTGCGTAACAAGCCGAAAAAGGCAACTCGCAGCGAAAGGCCGAACTCAGGGCACTCTTGAAGCACACTCCAACCGCATAGAGCATTCAGTAAGTTCAGAGTGAGCGGCGGCGCACGATTGGGGATCTCAGCGGTGTTCCATGCCTTCATGAGCCGCCAACTTCCTGGAAGCTTCTTTTTCAAGTTGGGGTCATGGTCTTGCAAGGCAGCCAATGCATTATTGGCCACTGACTTTCCTTCGCCACTAGCCCACAAGAACTCGAGGTAGTCGGACACCAAGTTATCCATCTGGGAGGCCTGAGTAGGCAGACTGAGGCCCTCCCGTGTCAACCAATCAAGGAATTGGCGGAGCGACTGGTCATAGCGGTGGCGGGTGCGTGGCTGAACTGTAAGATCCTTCAATTTTCCTAAACTCTTGCGTACTTTCTGGCGTTGCTGCTTGCTGCGGCCTTCAACTATCTTCTTCGTGCTTTTAGCCATCCTTTCCGGATGGGCCGGCGGGACGGTTTGTCCGCCGAGTTTTGCTTCGTGTCAATGTAGCCCCAGGCTACATGAAGTCCGCTAGCCAACAACAACGCACTGATTTTAGCAAGAGTCCTTCGAAGTTTCCTACTGCTGGACCTACCACGCGACAGAGCATGCAGAACAGCAAGTGAGTCGACAAGATGTAAACACTTTGTCCCATACTCCTGTAGTTCCTTGACTCTCCACACCAAGGCAGTTTTCACTGCACGGAGCTCAAGTGCGTTGATATGCTCAGCCTCTCCTGTCCAATGCCACCCAACAACGTCGCGCCATCGCCAAAGTTTTCCTGGGATAGAGGCTCGAAGCCGATGGTAACGAGCCGGGATGTCTGTAGCTAATTGCAACAGAATGTCTTCTCCTTTAACTGAGACCTGTCCGAGTAGTTTGCGCACAAGACCCTGTGACTCTTGTCCTGGTTGAGTGGTGTGGCGCAGCGGGGGGCGCATGAGCAACCCGGCTAGGACGGGGCATTTGCCTGGAGTCAAGTGGTCGACAATCTCTTGAACTGACTTCTTGTCATTCAAACCAATCGTAGCAAAGAGGCAATGTAGCAGGCACGCAACCACGGGCACCGACCAACTGTTTCCCAGCAGCGTAAGCCTGACATCGTTGCAACGAGTGGTTCCTACCTCAGCCTTCGGCACGCACTTTGCTGTATACTGGGAGGGAAATCCAAGGATGACCTCCCTTTCCACAACCGAGGGCACGCGCACTTCGCCCTGGGAGTTGCTGACGGAGTTCTCCCATCGATATTGATAAGGCGGGAACCTGTGTTTATCGGCATGCCACCTGGCTTTCGCTTCTGGCGGACACAAAGCCAAACCTGCGGGTTTACGGCCTGGCGTCTCTGATGGTCGTGAGGTGGTGAAAGTAGGGAACCGTCCGGGCGAATTGAGCTTCCAACCTGGTTCCAAGAAGTCACGCTCATCTATAGCTGCCTCTAAGTGAATGGATCCGGCCAACGGTAGTCGATGACGTTCGCCCGGTACAACGGTGGCTCCAACTAGAGTGCGAGGCTCCCAATTGAACCAGTACAAGCGAGGTCGCCGACACAATGACAAGCCACTAGCGTCCACCTGCCACGGAGAGAGGTCATACGCCTCTGACATGGTCCGACAATCATGGGCGTCCATGGACGCGACGTTCTCGATGAGGGTGAAGGTGGGACACCATGTGAAAAACCTCTTGAGGATGCTCTCAATCCTAGGGACATGAGCAAACAAGCAAGATCTCACATCACGCAGCGCCCCTCGCCTGTCAGTGTTTAAACCCGACACACCTTGACACGGGGGGCCCGCACCAAGAAGCACCGCGCACACTCCGGGGAAACGCAGGCACCAACTACTAATCTCGCTCTCATCAATGCTCTGCACATCCTCGATCGCAATGACCTCGGGAAACCAACTCTCCACGACACGACGAGCCTCAGGCGATATCTCAACGGACACATAACCCGCAACCGGTACCTGCAGTGAATCAACAGCTACACGCAGGGCTCCAATGCCGTCAAACAGTGACACCACCAAGATCGACCCAACTTCATCCTGGGAGATCAGGTCTCCCCTGCAACTGGCCATACTGGCTGCCACGCCATAGGGACTGAGCTGCTTGGACACGCACAAACCTCCACCTGTAGTTGAAGCGTCACTAGCAGTCACCTTCTCTGATATGGGAGTTCGAAAGTCCATGTAAGCGAGGGGGATCAGTGCCACGAACCTGAGGAGCTCATGCTCTACCTCTGCCCCCAGAGGCGCCCGTTGAGTGGGCTTCAACCTGCTGAGCTCTACGACCCTCCGCCAGATGGCATTAAGCCCTGACAACAGAGGACGCCTGAACATAGCAATGTATACAAAGCCTCCTCCAATGACCTGGAGCTCCCGCTGCGAAGCCTTTCCTTGAATCACTGCCTCACACGCTAGCTTCACATACCTCATCACCTTGTCCGGCTTGGGTCCTGCTTTGCCTAACTCTCCGTCCACCCAAGCACCCTGAACCTCGGCTTTCACTTGCTGAGTCACTGCTTTCTTGGGATGACGAGGGAGCCCAAGCGTCTCATATGTCTGTCTTACTGCCAGGGTCCAAGCGGAGGGGCTACCGGCGATCATTTCCGCAAGCTGCCTGTCAACCTTCTTGAGCTCATCATAGTTATCTAGATAGACTCGGAACAGATGGGGTGCACTGCTAGAAGCTCGATCTCGTCTGATCTCTTGATGCCCTGACGCTAGCCTAGACTCACCTGTCAACGCCTGATTGATCACTCTTCGGTGCACGTGCTGCGCAATAGCGACAGAGTTGATGAATCCCATAGGCAACACCTGTGTGACTAGGTGCCACCCTCCTCCAGTATAGCCACTTGGGAGGGCCTCTCTAGGAACCTCCCGTCCAAAGCCCATGTACTTCCACCAACTTGGGGGCGTCCGAAACAGGTAAAAGAAACAACGGATATCCTCTGAGGAGGTCACCAGGAGCTGATTGTCGTCAAGCACTATGGATGACATACCTACCACACTTGGGAGAGTTGCTGTGTCTCCAACCAAGCTCCTGCAGCACCCGTTGGTGGGGACCAGGTTCATGATCAGCCTACAAACTTCAAAAATG